CAGAGAACCCAGGAGTCCTGGCTCCCAGCCCCCCTGCTCTAACCACCAGCCCCCCTCCCCTCCCAGAGCTGGGCAGAGAACCCAGGAGTCCTGGCTCCCAGCCCCCCTGCTCTAACCACCAGCCCCCCTCCCCTCCCAGAGCTGGGGAGAGAACCCAGGAGTCCTGGCTCCCAGCCCCCCTGCTCTAACCACCAGCCCCCACTTCCCTCCCAGAGCCAGGCAGAGAACCCAGGCGTCCAGCTCCCAGCCCCCCCTGGGTCTAACCCACCAGCCCCCACTCCCCTCCCAGAGTCGGGATAGAACCCAGGAGTCCTGGCTCCCAGCCCCCACCACCCAGGGACACACACACAATCCTCAGGTCACCGTACAAACTGTCCTTCCCTTTCTTCCCACCAGGGGGTGCCATGGGGGGGTCACTATTACACAAGGGTGTGGCAAAGAGATGCATTGTGGGTAAGGCGGAGGGCAGGAGGAGGGGGTCAGTTTGGGCTCTGGGCTAGGTGGGATGGCTGGAGATTCACGCTGCAATGATGAAGGGAGGAAAGCGTCATTCTCCCCCATCACTAGGTTCAAGTGTTAACAGCCCCGATTGCGTGTCGGGTCCCACCACATCGATGGGGGCTTGGAGGAGATGTGCCTTCATGGTGAAGGGAATGGGGCGGTGCCAGGACTCCTGGGTTCTCTCCCCAGCTCTGGGAGGGGAGTGGGGTCTAGTGGGTTAGAGCAGGGGGGACTGGGAGCCCGGACGCCTGGGTTCCATTTGTGGCCATGAGCCAGGGCCATCTGGGCCAAGGTTGAGTCCGTTCTGCCTCCATAACTGTTGCCGGCAGTTTCTATGAAACAAGCTTCTCCTTCCTGTCCCAATCCATCGTGTGGTGTTATGTGCGGTGGTTCCCCAGCTGCTCCGCCCCAGAGGTGGCTGCATCTCAGCGCCCGGCGAGCCGTCCCCATGCGGCGTTATGTGTGGCTGTTCCCCAGCTGCTCCGCCCCAGAGGTGGCTGCATCTCAGCGCCGGGCGAGTTGTCCCCATGCGGCGTTATGTGCGGCGGGTCCCCAGCTGCCCCGCCCCAGAAGAGGCTGCATTGAACACCCATCTGTTTTCAGCTCCACGTTTTCTCCCTCCAGGCCCAGCACCCCCCCCCCCCGCTCCACACCGAGGCCTCAGTGGCTGCCCGGGTGTTTTGCTCTGCAGCAGAGCGGGCACGTGGCGTGTAACCGAAGCAGGGCCCTGCTGCAGCTCCACGGGGGGATGAATTATTTATCCACCGAGCGCGGGAGGCAGAGACAGCCGCTTGCCACAGCTCGTGGGTCTGGGGGGCCGGGCTGGCAGGGGGCTGCGGGTCGGGAGTGAGGGGCACCGGCAGGGCCGGGCTGGCAGGGGGCTGTGGGTCGGGAGTGAGGGGCACCGGCAGAGCCCGGGGCTGGGATCGGATCCAGGTGACCTGACTTGAGCTCGTCCTGAGGCCGGGGGAGATTCCGCTGAATTGGCAACTTGCTCGGTGATCGCTGGGCTGGCGGCTGGGCGGGGGGGCTGGGAGCCAGGACTCCTGGGTTCTCTCCCCAGCTCGGGGAGGGGAGTGGGGGCTGGTGGTTAGAGCGGGGGGGCCTGGGAGCCAGGACCTCCTGGGTTCTCTCCCCAGCTCGGGGAGGGGAGTGGGGGCTGGTGGTTAGAGCGGGGGGGCCTGGGAGCCAGGACCTCCTGGGTTCTCTCCCCAGCTCGGGGAGGGGAGTGGGGGC